AGCCCGCCGGCAGCGGCGGCTTCACTGCTTTTCACTGAGGAGGTGGAAGGTGTCGCCCACTGCTGCTGAGGAAGGGTGGCTGGCTGAGCCGGCCCCCGCCCTGGGCCTGGCTTGTCCCGGCCCCTGTACTTTGCCCTTGCTGCCTGACAGGTTCTGCCGTGGGCCCCGCCGAATGGAAGTCGTTGGCAGGCCTGGTCCCTGTCTCCAACCGGGTATGTTTTCCCCTTCTGGACTCTGGGTTGCCCCTGTGCTCCCCCCGCCCCCACCAAGTCACAGGATCTTTCAAGAAGCACCAGAGAGAGCCAGACCCTGGCTCTAGGCTGTGAAATCCAGAGGAAGGGTCCAGATGTTGAAGGAACAGAGAAAGTAGGAAAGGAAAAGGGACGGGCAGTGGGTCAGCCTGCGGGCCCGGCCAGCCAGGGACAGAGGCAGAGGCCTGGGCGGTTACAGTGAAGGGTGCTCAGACGCTGCAGGGAAAGTGAGGCTGGGATCTGGGCCCCCTGCCCGGTGCCAGTGCCCAAGGAGCACCCTACCCCACCCCCGCTGGCGCCACAGTGCCCTGGCTCACTCTGCCTGTGGCAGGAGAGTACCTGCCTGCACCCCTTCCTGTGTGACCTCTTTCCACTATGGGGGAAGCCTCAGAACACGTGGGACCAGCCCCCATGGCCAGCCACAGAGCACAGCTTCCCTGGGGGCCACTGGTAGGCACCACCAGCATTAGGGCAGGGGGCCCTGCCTACCTGAGTCAGCGCAGGCCTCAGGGTGGAGGCTGTCTTCCGGATGGGCCTGGCAACATGCCTAGGCCAAGTTCTGAGATCCCAGGCTGAAGGGCCCTAGCAGACGCAGCGGATCTGCAAGCATGCCCTCCGCGTCCCGCCATCTCTCCTCTCCATTGCAGACTCTGGCACTGCATGGACCCTGCTCAGTGTCCTGCTTGGATGATGTTGGTTGTCGATACCACCCAAGGGGGGATTCCTTGCTCCTTCTGAAGGCTGCTGGGAACCAGGGGGCTGCTTTCCAAAGACCACACACAGCCTTGGGGGCCCACCTGGGCTTTGCCAGTGGGAGAACAGGCAGCCTGGGCTGGTGGGGGGCGGGGGTTAAGCGTGCAGTAGCCAGATGCTGTTCCATTGATTCAGGGACCTGCTCTGGCTTAGCCGGCCTTCCTGGATGGGCCCAGTCATGACCTCAGCAGGGACGCTCCCTCCACAAGCGCCTCCCCTACAGGGCCTGAGGCTGCTCTTCCTCCTTCATAAAGTAGCCAGGTGAGGAAGTACCTCTTGGGGTCCTTGCCCAGGAAGCCCTGGCTCCTGGGACTTTGTCCTCTCTCTGCCCTTTCTCTGAGTTGATGGCCTGTCCTCAGCACCCAGCTGTGGAAATGTTTATACCACAGGAGAAGCAAGTGGGGGTCGGAGAACTAGGTAGGAGCTAAGAGATCCCAGTATTGGGCTATTCAGTCCCAAGAAGGGACTTGGGGGCAGGGGTCAAAGAGTGGTTGCCGGTGCTCCTGCCCGCAGCCCTAGCAGACAGCACCTCCTTGCTCTCACTGTGCTGGACCCTCAGCTTGGGGCCAGCCTCTCACAGTTCCTGGCCCCTCCATCCCTCCCTCCTGTGAGCTCAGAGCTGAGTCTGCAGGACAGTGGCCAATAGCCCTGGCCCTTGGCCTAGGAAGAGACCCTCTGACACTCGTGCTCTGGGGGACGGCACCTGACTCAGCAGAGCCCTGGTTCTGAGAACATGGGTGTCTAGGGACATGATGACTGTTCTTGTTGAGTGTTGGGGTACATCCTCTCTCTGCCTGAGGGAAGTAGTGGATCTCTTATCATCACCCTATAGATAAAGGAAGCACAGCTAGGAGGTGGGGCAAGCCTGAGTCCACCCCCAACAGAGATGTGTGACACACCCAGCACCATCATCTTTGGGGTGCCTCTCTTCCCCCTTCAGAGCAACAACCCCTGCCCCTTGAGTGTGTTGTTGGCCATAAGGAAGTGTATGTGGGTTGAGTGACTGGCAGAGTTGGAATTTGAGCTCTGACATCTTCAGTCCTCATCCTGTTGGCCTGGGACGAAGAGCGAGTGCGGAGGCCAGCTCGCACATGCAGCCAGGTGTGGACAGGGCAGAGCCCACGGTGCGCAAGAGGTTCCCCCATTGAGCGGCACAGAGGCGAAGGTTCCAGACTTCTCAGGTGGTCTTTGAGGGCCTAGAAGCAGCCAGACTCGACCATTTTTGTGTGTATCCTCAGGAAAGAGAGGAAGTAGCTCAGATGAGTTAAGTTCAAGGTTGCTTTGGAAGCTGGCCCGTCTTGTCCTCCCCTCGGGGGCATTTTGGCAGGAGGAATGGCCTGTTGGATGTGCCCTGGACAGGCCAGGAAGGCAGCACCGTTGGGCAGCATGGGGCTGAGGAGAGGCGGAGCATGGAGCCAGAACTTCTGCTGGGTGGGGCCAAGGTGCTCTTTTAGAGACTTTCTGATTTACTTTGATTTTATTTGAAGGGCAGAGACAAAGTGCCCACAACAGCCAGGGCTGGGCCAAATCAGAGCCAGGAGCCAGGAATGCTGTCTAGGTCTCCTGTGTGGTGAACCTAAGGCAACCTGAGCATCTGACCTCCCAAGGTCTGTAGTAGCAAGAAGCTGAAATCAGAAGTCTGTTAGGGGCCTGGTGTGGCAGCCTAATGGCTAAAGTCCTCACCTTGCATGTGCCAGGATCCCATATGGGCACTAGTTCCTATCCCAGATGCTCCACTTCCCTTCCAGCTCCCTGCTTGTGGCCTGGGAAAACAATAGAGGATGGCCTAAAGCCTTGGGACCTTGCACCTGCATGGGAGATCTAGAAGAGGCTCCGGGCTCCTGGCGGCAGCTCTAGCATGTGGTGACCACTTGGAGAGTAAACCAGCGGATGGAGGATCTTTCTGTGTCTCCTCTCTGTAAATCTGCCTTTCCAATAAAAATAAATGATTTTTAAAAAAGAAGTAGTGAGGTTAGGGTGCCCAACCTTGTGATGGAAAAGGCTAGGTACCACTTGCAGTGCTGATGTGCCTTGTAGGAATGCTTGTGTAAGTCACTACTGCTGCCATTTGAGTCCGGCTCCTGGCTTCATCCTGGCCCAGTTCTGCTCATTGTGGCCGTTTGGGAAGTGAACCAGTAGATGGAGAATTCTTCTCTATCTTTCCCTCTTGTTGTTCAAAACAATAGAGCTGCCACTTGAACCCAGCCATTCCCACGTGGGTTACAGATGTCACAGGCAGCAACTTACCCATTGTGCCCAGCACCTGGCTCTTGTGATGCCAATTAGTGCCAGAAGGACCCAGGCATGCCCTCTGTCCATCGAGTGTGGGACTTTGAGATCCTTTGGTAGGAGCAAAAGCAAGTCTTTGAAACTCTGTGTAGAAAATGCTGATGGAGACCAGCCAGGCTTAGGTGAGGTGCAGGACCTGATGGAGAAGCGCAGTACGGGGATCCCATGGAGCTGTGCAAGAGAGACAGCTTGAGACCAAGGAGGGATGTCAGGGGGCTCGGCCCAGCACTGGGCTTCTGGGATCTCGGGCAGTCTGCTTGCGGGTTTCTCTTGCTGTTTGCAAAGCATCTCGTTGGGCAAGTGTGCTTCTTGCCCAGGAACCCTGGACAGTTCCTTAGCAAGCCATTCTTTGTGGTTTGTGAGGGCTTTGCTTAGAGCCAGCAGAGACTGCAAAAGGAAAAGTGTTGACTCACACTCTGACCTCCCCACAGCCTTCCACGTAGCCCTCTGAAATTTCAAGGCAGCCTTGGAAGCTCTGGGACGAGGCTCTGGTGATGGACTTGTCCCAGTGTGGCAACTGGACAACGAGCTGTGGTCAGCCCGCCTTTCTGGGTGTGCATCACTGCCTTCAGCAGGACATAAGCATAATAAAACATGGAGTGAGGCTGGAAAGGTTTGCATGGTCCTGCACAAGGGTGACTTACAGATGCTGGAAGAGTCCCATATTTTGAGTCTACATAGAAGTAGATTTGTCCTCTTTGCAAACTAGAGGTAAAGTGTACAGTTGAGTGGCTTTTATTAAATTCACAAAGCTGTATAGTCATCTTTCATACAATTTCAGAACATTCTCCCACCCATAAGTTGTCACTGCTGGGTCCTCCTGACTCTCCTACTCCCTAGAGGACTACCTGTCCCCTTTCTGTCTGCAACTGCCAGTCCCGGGCATTTCCTGTCAGAGGGACGTGCAGCATGTGTGGCCTCTGTGGCCAGCATAGACCATTGTGTGCTGTCGGCGTTGGTGCCTCACTCCTGCCGGACTGGACAGGTTTCTCTGTTGGACAGCTGATGTCCATCCGAGGCGTGACACTCTGACCACTGCGCACAGTGCTGCTGGGGATGCTGGCTGCTGGCTGCTGGGATGCGTTTTCGCTTCTGCATATGCCTAGGAGTGGAATTGCTGGTTCACACAACCTTGTTGAGCACTTTCAGGGGTACCCAGGCTTTCAGGTGGATGTATAAGGGCTCCCCAAAGGGTCTTGGAAGATGCATTTATGAAACAGTAGGCATATAGATTTCATTTTGGGGTTTGCTTTTTTTCGGGGGGAGCAAAATAAGCTTCCCTTTTAATCTGCTTTTCCCCAAGCTTTTTGAAGTGGAGTTGTATAGTTTGCCTGGCCCGTGCCCTTTTTTATCCTATGGTCAGTGGTTGCTGGGACTTCTGCTCCCTCACATTCCCTCCTTGGGCTATGGGCACTGCCCTCGCTGGCTGCCATGCTCCCTAGAAGTGGTGACCACGCATGAGGTGATTAGTAGCACAGGCTCGGCCCAGTTGCCCCAGCAGCAGAGGAGCTGCTCGGCTAGCGTGAGGAGGGGTCAGGGGCTCCAGGGAGGGAGCACCTCTGGTCCTAAGCTCTGGCACCCACAGACTTTCTGGAGGAGGTTGGCTGGCTGGTCGGCTGGTCTTTCGCATGGCTCCCAGCCCCCTGGCAGAGAGCTGAAGGGACTTGGAGGGGCAACAAGTCAGCATGTGTCTGTTTACCCCTGCAGCCCACCCTGGGACACCTCGATCCCAAGCCCAGCAGTAAGTCCAACATGCTGCGGGGCCGCAACTCGGCCCCCTCTGCTGACGAGCAGCCCCACATCGGCAACTACCGGCTCCTCAAGACCATCGGCAAGGGCAACTTTGCCAAGGTGAAGCTGGCCCGGCACATCCTAACTGGGAAGGAGGTGAGCACTGGTGTTGGGGCACAACAGCGGGCCCCTGCCTGCACTCCAGAAGGTTGTGATGAGATGCGTGTCAGCAGGCGTGTAGGGGGGGCGGGGAGGAAGTAGGTTGGGCTCCTGGGCTTGGCCTGCACAAGCAGCTCATCTTGGATTTTTTTTTTTCATGTTCAGGTGGCTGTGAAGATCATTGACAAGACTCAGCTGAACTCCTCCAGCCTCCAGAAAGTAAGCACGCAGCACCTGCTGTCCTGCGGAGCTCCCCACAGGCCAAGGGTGTCGCCATTCTGTTTGGAGCTTCTCATTTTGAAACTACTTTTAGAACCTGGTGGAGGATCTCTGGCTGCTGCACATGCCTGGCACCTGCTCCCTATGACTCCTCCCCTGAGGGCTCGGTCAGATCCTCTGGGGTGACCCCTCCAGGGTGGCCTTCCTGGCCACAGGCATGACTTCTTACAAGTCCTTCTGCCCCTTTACGGCCACATGGCACTGCTGACCCACCTCCTACCTGCATCTGACTGTCTCCTGGCCTGTGGCTAGCCCTGTGCAAAAGTGTGTGTTTGTGGTCATTACTAGAAATGCATGCAGCTGCACTGAGACCTGGAATGATCCAGAAGAGTGGTGTGGGACAGAGGTTGCCCTGCTCCTGTGCCAACTGCATTTCAGCCTGGGCTTGACACACTGAACTCCCAGTTTCCTTCCCACTTGCAAAGGTCAAAGTCGTCCGCTGAGCAGCGGGGAGCTGGAATCCTCCTTGGCCAGCAGGGGTCCCTAACTGGGAACACAGACCTTCTCCCCGGGAGGTTGTAGACCCAGGAGGAAAGGATTTGCAGCAAGGAGAGAGCTTGCCAGTGACCAGGGCTTGTTGAGCTGGAAACTGCCTCCTCTCCGTGTCCTGGGCACCAGGGCACTGCCATTCCCTTGGTGCTTCCTGACTTAGCTGACCTAGCTTAGTCAGCTCATGGCCAGTTGCCTCTTTCTGTCCGAGGGCAGGGCTGCAGGCCAGCAGGCACATGTGGTGATGCGGAGAGGCTCTGGCTAGAGCTGGCACTTGTTCCTGAAAACAGAGAGGCCGATGTAGAGCTGTGAATTCTCTGCTTCTGTGAGCCTTGGCATCCCCTCCAGGTGCCCTGGGTTAAGGGAACCACTGTGGTCATCGTCAGGGCTTCCCTGGTGCTGCACTGGACATGTTTGCTCTGACCCTACGGAAGCATGCAGCGGCATGAAGTGGGCCCCTGGGTCTTGGGAACAGCCAGCCAGTCGTCCCTCCAGCTAGCTGGCCAGGAGACATGAGCATGAGATAAATACAGCACAATGCAATCACTGGTGAGATTTCACCCCAGCAAGGGTAGATGAAGAAGTTAGTCCCTCCTGGGTCCCTGGGAGCCCAGGAACACCAAGCTGTCCCAGGCACTACCGCTTACAAGCCAAGGGCCACCCTCAGGAAGGGACCTGTTCCCGTGCTGCACCTCGTGCCTGTCCCTCCTGTGACCCAACAAGGGGGCCCAGGCAGAACCGGTTCCTGACAATGGGAAACCAGTTGCTGCCTTTGCCTCCAGCTCACAGAGCTCCTGGACACCATTAAGAGGGGAAACCTGGATTCATTTTATTCCCAACATTGTATCCTGAATTAGGGATCCAGGTGCCTTCCCCCCATCACCCCTACTCTGCTACTTAGTTCAAGTGCGGAGGCCTGGAAGTTACAGAAACCCCACCTTTGTTTCTCTGGCCCCCGCCAAGAGAAGGGAGTTCATTTCTGTCATCTCTCTTCATGGAAATATATGGTTTGGAGCCCCTGATTTTTGTTTCACAAAGACAGCGTGAGTGTGTGGAGGTGGATTTGATTAAAATTGGCATCAGCTATATATAGGAGTGGCTTCTTCTGTCACCACCCCAGAGGCCCAGGAGAGAAAGAAAAGCCCAGCCCCCAGCCCGGCAGCTTGCATGCTTCAGGTGATCTTGGAAAACGAACCCAGCACCCAGAGCACCCAGAGCAGGGTGCTGTCGAGACGGGGCCAGCGGTCTCCTGCATGGGCCCACACTTTTTTCCAAGGGTGCCTGACAGGGTGCCGCAGGCTCATCCAGGTGCCGCTCCTGCCTGCCTTGCTGTTGCCCTCCCCTCCGACCTATTTTGGTTTTGGTTTTGGTATAGGAGTCTTAGCAGGGCTCTATTGGGAGGGACAAGCCTGACCCCTGCTGTCTTACTTTCCAGCTATTCCGCGAAGTAAGAATAATGAAGGTTTTGAATCATCCCAACATAGGTGAGAAGCAGTTGCATTTTCTTCTCCCCCAGTCAGGCTCCACTTGGTGGCATGTGGGTTTCCTTCCAGAGTCTGGAATTGCCAGGGATGTTCTGGGGAAGCGCTGCTCAAAGGAGCTTCATTCCTGGACCACGTGGTCCAGCTGGAGTGAGAGGAGCTATTCCTCGGCGGGGGGGAGGGGAGGAGGGCAGCATGAGGGGGCTTTCATCCTTAACGGACCCTGTGCACATCGGGGCCATGCACGCCCTGTGCAGACCTGCTGTGCCCTTGGCTCAACACTTGGCCTTTCTTTTGCAGTTAAATTATTTGAAGTGATTGAGACTGAGAAAACCCTCTACCTTGTCATGGAGTATGCCAGTGGCGGTAGGTGTGGGGACTGCCCGCTTCTTCCTCTCGGGGCCCACGTCTCTCAGCCTTCCCGGCTCTGACAGATGCCCACCCTGTCTCTTCCAGGAGAGGTATTTGATTACCTAGTAGCTCACGGGCGGATGAAAGAGAAAGAGGCTCGAGCCAAATTCCGCCAGGTGGGTGCACCTCTGTTTAGCCCTGCCCTTGGGCACCCAGGGAGGGGCTCTGGTCTGTAGGTTGCTTGGTTACAGGGTCACAGCCTTCCCAGTCCCCTGGTGACCGCTTGGGCAGCCTAGACTAACCCTTCTTCTTCCTTTCAGATAGTGTCGGCTGTGCAGTACTGTCATCAGAAGTTCATTGTTCACAGAGACCTAAAGGTGAGGCGTGTCCTTCCTGTGCCTTTGGGTGCGGGCTGGGCTGTTCCCTCTGGCTCTGACGTCACCAGGCCCAGAGAGTTGAAGGCAGTGCCTGCCATTGGTTTATTTATATATACACACTCAACGCACATAATTTATTATTTGAGAGCAAGTTCCCATCCACTGGTTGTTCACTCCCCAGATGATGTCACCAGCTATGGTTGTGCCAATCCAAATCTGGGAGCCTGGAACTTGATCCAGATATCTTACTTGGGTGACAGGGACCCGAGTACTTGAGCCATCACCTGCTGCCTCCCAGGGTCTGCATGAGCAGGAAGCTGGGGTCAGAATCAGAGCAAGGACTTAAACCTGACACTCCGATGTGGGACCCAGGCATCCTAGCTGGCCTCTTAACTAAGCTGCCTGCTGCCCATTCGCTTTGTCAGGTGACCAGGAAGCCCTCAGAACGCTTCTGCTGGGAGCCTCATTGTTCTGGCATGTGCGCTGCCAGGCCATAGGCAGCCTCCTGGCTGGTCAAGGGAAGGACCCAAAATGTCCCTTAGTTGGGTCCTAGCGCCTTTGCAGGCAGGCACATCCATGCTGCCTGTCTTACCGAGATCCCAGACCATCTGTGTATCTCTGCTCAGACCTTGCACATGTGAGGGTGGTTAGCCTGGCCTGGCACCTAGACTTGATACAGCTCACAGATGACGGCCCTGCCATGGCTGCCCGAGAGGAGTGGCCTGCGTGCCATCCTTCTGCCCTGCCTGCCGCTGGCAGAGAGCATTCGGAGGCTCAGGAGAACTTGCCTGTCATTCCCCTGCACATCTCAACGCTGCCTGCCCAAGCCCCCGTGGAGCCTACCTTCCCTGATGGTCTCCATCTTACTTCCCAGGCAGAAAACCTGCTCTTGGATGCGGACATGAATATCAAGATTGCAGACTTTGGCTTTAGCAACGAATTCACTTTTGGGAACAAGCTGGACACTTTCTGTGGCAGTCCGCCTTACGCTGCCCCAGAACTCTTCCAGGGCAAGAAATACGATGGGCCTGAGGTGGACGTGTGGAGCCTGGGGGTCATCCTGTACACACTGGTCAGCGGATCCCTGCCTTTTGATGGACAGAACCTCAAGGTGGAGTGCAGTGCGAGCTTTGCTCATGCTCACTACTTCTCATGTCCTTTCTAGGCCTCTGGTCTTGCCCTGACCTCTCACCTTTGCTTGTCTGCATTTTTTTCCAAGCCAGAGCTTGAGAAGGGTTTTCTGCCATGGTAGCAGTTAACCAGGCCTTCTATCCCTTGGAATTCACAATTACATCCTAAAGAGAAAGGGTATACTGCATAGGGCTTCCCTGGCCAGGTCCTGTGGGTAGCAGACCCAGACCAGTGAGGCCGCACGGCTTCTCTCCCTCTGTGCCATAGCCGTCTGTCTGTTAGGCCTTGTTGCCACCTGCATGGCCAGTCCCCGGCCCCAGGGCCTCAGGGAAACTGGTCTCTTCCCTGGGCATTCGCAGGATTGGATTGTGCTAACCCTAGATGCTTCCACAGGAGCTGCGGGAGCGGGTACTGAGGGGGAAATACCGTATTCCATTCTACATGTCCACGGACTGTGAAAACCTGCTGAAGAAATTTCTCATTCTTAACCCCAGTAAGAGAGGCACTTTAGAGGTGAGCAGTCTGGAGCCGGCTGGCTGGAGGGCCTGGGCTTCCTGTGGAAACCTCCAAGCTGAGTGTCTTCCCTCTGCCCTTTTGCCTTCCCTTTGCTCCCAGCAAATCATGAAAGACCGGTGGATGAATGTGGGTCACGAGGACGATGAGCTGAAGCCTTACGTGGAGCCCCTGCCTGACTACAAGGACCCCCGGCGGACAGGTGAGGCCGCACTGGGCCTTGAGGCCATGCCTGCCTGGGCATCAGGAGCATTTGTAACTGTGTGTCCCTTGTGCAGAGTTGATGGTGTCCATGGGCTACACACGGGAAGAGATCCAGGACTCGCTGGTGGGCCAGAGGTACAACGAGGTGATGGCCACCTACCTGCTGCTGGGCTACAAGAGCTCCGAGGTTTGTGCTTCCTGCCTGCTGGCTGTGCTGGCTCCTTCCTGTCTCCGAGCTCCTGGGGCCAGAAGCGCCTCTCCAGTGGGTGCGCCCCCTGCTGGCCATCCTTCCACCCCAGCTTGGGTGTCCCAAGCCCTCTGGCCTCTGGCTGACTTCCTTCTAAGGGGCTGGCAGAGAGCTGCTGGAGCGAGGCCCTAGGTCTGGCTCCCAGGGGGTGAGTTGATTAGAGTGGGCCCGGCCCTCACTGGGCAGCTTGGCCTCATCGGTCAGGGTTTCTTGTGAGTGCGTCCGCAGGTGCTCTGCTCTGAGTTACAGAGCTCTCTGACTTGCAGCACCCCGGACCTGTGAATTGTGGCTGGGTGTGTGTGTGGCGCATGTGTGCAGCCTGTCTGCAGTTTGGACAGCTTTGTGGCCGTTCTGCCTTTGGGCTTAGTCCCTCACCTGTGTGTGCCTGCAGGTGCTTGGAGCCTCCACACACCCTCTCCCCATTCTCTCTTGGTTTGGACCCACATCCCTGGGGCTTGGGAGGGGGCATCTCTGCATCTGACATGTATGCTAATCTTTCTGGGCGGTGCCATCGGCTCTGTCTGTAGTCGGAACCTGTGCTGGGGAACATGTGTCCCTGGTGGGGAGGAGGCGTGTGTGTGCTGGTTGGGCTAGGAAATGATGTCCCTGGGCGCCTAGGCGGTTGTGTGCTGGTGGTACATGAACATGAGTGCATAGTTCATACCTGTGAATTCACATTCACATTCTCTCTGCTTGCAGCTGGAAGGTGACAACATCACTTTGAAGCCCCGGCCTTCGGCAGATCTGACCAATAGCAGCGCCCCTTCCCCCTCCCATAAGGTACAGCGCAGCGTCTCGGCCAACCCCAAGCAGCGGCGCTTCAGTGACCAGGGTAAGTCTCCCGGGGGGCTGGCAGATGTCCTCACCTTCCCAGCACGGGCTATGAGGGTCACAGCTGAGCTGCAGGGCTGTGGAAGGACACTGTGTGGGGCCCTGGCGCCTGTGACCCCAGCCTCACCCGTCCCTCTGGCCCTGCAGCTGGTCCTGCCATTCCCACCTCAAATTCCTACTCCAAGAAGACACAGAGCAACAATGCAGAGAATAAACGGCCTGAAGAGGAGCGGGATGTGGGGCGCAAGGCCAGCAGCACAGCCAAGGTGCCTGCCAGCCCCCTGCCCGGCCTGGAGAGGAAGAAGACCACCCCAACCCCCTCCACGGTGAGCTGCCTGTCCTCCCCTCTTTCCCTGCCCCCCTCCCCAAGCAGCTCTTTTATTTTAAAAGATTTATTTATTTGAAAGGAAGTGTATCCGAGAGAGGGAGAGACAGGTCTTTCGTGTGCTGGTTCACTCACTCACTGGCCACAACGGCTTGTGCTGCCAGGGTGAGGCCAGAAGCCTTGAGTTCCCTCAGGTCTCCCACGTGGGGGGCATAGGTACAGTTCCTGGACCATCCTGCACTGCTTTCCTAGGCACAATGCCTAGCAGGGAGCTGGATTGGAAACAGCTGGCATTCTGTTGTGGGATGTCGGTGCCCCAGGCCCCACGCCCAAGAGGAAAAGCAAAATTCCTTTAATCTCGAGCTGCTGCTTAAGGCCAGGGAGGAGGGAGAGCCCTTAGTGAACCTGACCGTACAACACTCCTGCTCTTCCTTCCCCAACAGAACAGCGTCCTCTCCACCAGCACAAACCGAAGCCGGAACTCCCCGCTTTTGGAGAGGGCTAGCCTTGGCCAGGCCTCCATCCAGAATGGCAAGGACAGGTGAGCGACCTGGGTCTGCCTGCCCCGCTTCTTGGGGCCTCCTCTTCCAGCGACCAAGTCTGTCGACACCGTCTTCTGTCCCCCAAGAGCATCATTCGTGCTCCTAGAGTCCTGTCCTGGCTTTGTGGGGTCCAACTGTCTTTCCACCACGCTCCATGCCACCTCCTCCCCCCTGCCTCTCTGACTGCTCCTCATGGTTTACCGAGGGCGCCTCTCACAGATCACGTTTGTGGCCTTTGTGCATCTTACAGAGGCCAGGGCCCAGCAGCTGCCCTGCTCAGGGTCAGCACCTTTGTCTTTGGGGCTACAGTTGAGGGCAGAGCTGAAAGTGATCCATCCTGGGAGTGCACCCGTGGCAGTGGCTCCTGCACACCCCTGAGAGCAGTGCTGCCAACTTGACCGTGGGCATTTCTTGAGCAGGTTCTGCTTGGCAGCATCGTGCTCCCTCAGTAGACCTTGAGCTAGACTCGCAGGAGACTGAGGCAGACTGCAGGCATCCGTGCTGCCAGCTCGCCTCGCCCTGGCCTCCTGCCGCTGCACAGCTCCCAGCTCTGGCCAGGGCCTGCTGCTGCTCCCTGGGCCTAACCCACACCTCCTTGCTGCTCCTAGCTCTGGGCCTCCCCCAACCTTGCTTCCTAATCCTGACGCTCTGCCCTTGCCCACCCCCTAACCCAGGCCTCTCCGCTGCTTTTGTCTCCTAGCCTAACCATGCCAGGGTCCCGGGCCTCCACGGCTTCTGCTTCCGCCACAGTCTCTGCGGCCCGGCCCCGCCAGCATCAGAAATCCATGTCGGCCTCCGTGCACCCCAACAAGGCCTCTGGGCTGCCCCCCACGGAGAGTAACTGTGAGGTGCCGCGGCCCAGGCAAGTGTGCAGGGTCAGCTGGGGCACCTGCTCCCCTGCCCGGTCCTCAGCAACTTCTCTCCCCTTCTGGAGCTCCTGCTCTCCTGTCATCTTAGCCACAGGAAATGGCTTTGTGCCCTGCAGCCAGGAAGTGGAAGGCACAAGAAAAGAGCATTAATGCCCTTCTTCTCCAGGTCTTCCCTCAGGACAGGTTACAAGAAGCTGTCCTGTGGCTCCAGGAGTCAGAGCCTGCCTGGCTTCCCTAGGGACAGTTGGCGTGCCTAGGGCTCAGTCCTTGAGGGTTGCCCCCCCAGACCCCTTGTGAGCTGCCAGAGCCAGCTTGTGTGCAGCCCGTGCTGCTGCCCACAGGCAGTGCGCTCCCCTGCCTGCCCTCCCCACTGCTCCCCTGCCTCCTCCCTCAGTGGTCACACCCCTCCTTCCTCGTGTGTCCTCGTGATGACCACCTCTGCCGTAACCTCCCCACCACAAAGCGCTGCCCTGTATCCTGATGTGTTCCCCTCCCCAAACTCTTCTCCCACAGCACAGCCCCCCAGCGTGTCCCTGTCGCCTCTCCCTCCGCCCACAACATCAGCAGCAGTGCTGGAGCCCCAGACCGAACTAATTTCCCCCGGGGTGTGTCCACTCGGAGCACCTTCCATGCTGGGCAGCTCCGGCAAGTACGGGACCAGCAGAATCTGCCCTACGGCGTGACCCCAGCTTCTCCCTCCGGCCATAGCCAGGGCCGGCGGGGGGCCTCTGGGAGCATCTTCAGCAAGTTCACCTCCAAGTTTGTACGCAGGTGAGCAGGGAGTTCTGACTGACAGGTTGGGGGATGGGGGTGCCGAGAGCTGGGCTCGGGTCCTGGGGATTCAAAGAAGCCACCATGAGGGCCAAGAAATTGGGTGATCCCCAACTCTGTCCATGCCCAGACCTGCTCCCTAGGCCTCTCCCTACCTCCTCACAGGCGCCCCTCATTCTCTGGCCCCGGCAGATGGCCCATGCCGCCTCCTCTCCAGGAGAGTGTGAACTCAAATGCTAAAATAAAAGCCCCCTCTTCACTCCTGGGTTCCCATGGAAACATATTTGGTGACGCAGCTGCTGCTGAGGGCTCAGCAGGCTGGGCCAGGGAATAACATTTTGCTGGCCTTGCATCTGCCCCCTTTGACCTCTTCCCTCACTGCATGGGTCACTCCCCTCCCAGTCCGGGGTTCCCAAGAGGAGGCACTAAATGACCAGCTGCTGGGGACTCCGGGGCCTCTCCTGCTCCAGCCCCAGGCTGACCAGTTCCTGTGTTGGGTCTAGATGGGAGTTTCTTCTGATTTCTCACTTCTGAGCCCTGCCAGCTGGGGTGCAGCTGGAAGGGCCACCCCCAGCCACCTGGCCTCTTGGGATGCCCTGGTCCCACCCTTGGGTACCCGTGTGGGCTGGGCCATGGAGAGAGCAGGCTTGCTCTCCTGGTCGCACGGGTGGCAGGGGTGCGGGCTGCAGAGGGCGGGCGCAGGTCTGCGAGTCTGCGACTCGACTCTGGCTGAGCGGCTCTTCCAGACTGGGGTGCCCACTCCCCACCTGCTTATCCACATACCGTCTTGTTGGGTTTTTTTTATTTCTTTTTTTATTTTGTCTTTTTTTGTTTGTTTTTTTAGAAATCTGTCTTTCAGGTTTGCCAGAAGGTAGGCGTTGAGCCCGCTGTGTGTGTGTGTCTGTCCCTTGTCCTGCTCCATCACTAACTTGCTGTTTCTGGTTCTGGCTCCCCTCCATCTGCTAACGTCGCTGTGTGGTCCTCCTGCGCCATCTTAAAGGGACGAAGCCTGGGTGCCCGTGCTCGGTGCCAAGCCTGCTCTTCCTGCCCTTCAAAAAGGCGGGGGCCGGCTGGGTTTGCGGGCATGTCTGTGCTCACGCTCGGGGAGGCCTTCCTTGGGGATTCTCCCTTTAAGATTGTCTGTCTCACCCCCTTCCCAGGTTTTGGTCACGAGCACTGGGTTCCTTCTCTGGCCCTCCCTCCGTCGTGTGCATGCGCTATGAGGAAGCTGCACTGGGTTACAAGGGCATCTGGGACAGTCTCTCGTTTGGGATCTCCTGGGCTTCCTGAACTTCCAGGCTGTGTGGCTTCTTCCCACTGGCCTCTGGGATGGAGAAGACCAGTGGGGAGTGTGGGGCGCGGGCAGGGTGGGGTGGTACTATAGGGGCAACCCTGGCATTCCCAGGCTTCCATTTGACTCCTCCAGGCCCAGGGAGCCTTGGCTTCACAAATGGGGCACAGCACCCCCTTCTGGCAGCTCTGCAGAAGCAGCCCCTACAGCAGCAAGGCTGCTCACTCTCGCCAGAAAGAAAGCCGGGAGCCGATTAGCCTGGGCAAGGGCCATTCATCCCCTAGCTGTGGCGAGACACCTCTCACAGGCCTCTCCCTCTCTGGGCAGGACCCTGGTTCCTTCACCCCGGCCTTATCCTCCTCCCTGCAGGCCTGGGTGAGCCAAATGTCAAGCTGTACACAGAAGGCCAAGCCAGGGGCATGGGTTCCCGGTGCCGGCCTAGGGCACCCGGAAAGCACACTGGGGTCCCGGCTGCTAGAGAGAGCATCCAGTCCGGATCTCCAAGTGTTCCCCATTCCCCGATCCCTGCCCCCCAGCTCTCCCCTGCATGACTAGTGCTCGTATTGTGGGGGCCCGGAGAGAGCTGCTGGGGCCCCTTGCCCTGCACCGCCAGGCTCCCTGCTCACAGTGCACCTGTTGGCATCATGTCTGTCTTGTGTTTTTGTGTCCCTTTTACATGTGCTGCTGCCGCCCCATCCCCCTTCTGCAGTCCCATTACCCAGCTCCCAACACGCATGTTCCAGGCAGGAGCTGGAGAAGCCGCTCAGCAGGGCCAGACCTCTTCCTCCTGGCTGCTGGGGAGTCACAGGCCCCACCCCCAGGCATCCTCCACACACCACTGGTTCCTTCTCTCCTAAAGTTAGGGATGTTGCAGCCCCTCCCCTCTACCAGAACTGCAGTCCTGAGCCCCCAGTCTGTTAGCACCACGGAGAAGGAGCTGAGCGGGCGGCCCAGCCAGTGGACAGACCAGACTACATCGTGCTGTGCCTGGCACCTGCTGTTGCAGAGGCCCCTTCCCCCAACGCACAGCTCTGCAGTGTGGGGAGGGCCAGGCCCTGAGCTGGGCTCCTCGTTGGAAAGGGACTGTTGTGCTGCCAGTGGGAGGTGCTGTAGAGCCCTGTTGGCCTGCAGGCGTGGACAGGTGGCCCTTGGCTTGGGTCCCCCCCACCTGCTGGCAGCACCTTCCCAGACCCACCCACACCTGGGTCTGTGGCAGCAGAAGGAGCGAGAGATCACAGCACTAAACTCTCCCTCGCTCTGTTTTTTGAGGAACCTGAATGAACCTGAAAGCAAAGACCGAGTGGAGACGCTCAGGTGAGAGGGCCGGAGCCAGCACAGGCCCTGCCCGGGCACCAGGCTTGCCGTAGCCTCCTGTCCCTCTCTTCCTTCTGCCACTTGGCTCTTCTCCAGGGGCTCTACCCTGCCCCACCCTTCCGGGACCTCCCTTTCCCTAACCCAGCTGCAGCACTTCTGGCCTGCTCTCCCTAGAGCCTGGATCTTCTGGAAATGGGAGCCCTGGGGTGGGCCATGGGGGCAGCAGATGCCTGGCCTTGCTGTGCCACACTGCTTAATACAGGCTGTGCTCCATGCTCAGCCCTCCCCTCCCCCTGGCAGAGAGGTCAGGGTACGAGTCCCCCCCTTCGAGGCCTGCCCACCCCCTCCTCCTCCTGCCGCCCGCTTCTGGCCTTGTGCTCCTCGGCTCCCTCCCACTGTCCTCTCAGGTCCAAGGTCTGCCTGCCAGGGTGGCGGTCCCACGGGTGGGTGCCCAGGCCTCCCACCTGACGAGGCCTCTGCCCTCTCCGCAGACCTCACATGGTGGGCGGAGGCGGCGATGACAAGGACAAGGAGGCCAAGCCCCGCTCCCTGCGCTTCACGTGGAGCATGAAGACCACGAGCTCCATGGAGCCCAACGAGATGATGCGGGAGATCCGCAAGGTGCTGGACGCCAACAGCTGCCAGAGCGAGCTGCACGAGAAGTACATGCTGCTGTGCATGCACGGCACGCCGGGCCACGAGAACTTCGTGCAGTGGGAGATGGAGGTGTGCAAACTGCCGCGGCTCTCGCTCAACGGGGTCCGCTTCAAGCGGATATCGGGCACCTCCATGGCCTTCAAGAACATTGCCTCCAAAATAGCCAACGAGCTGAAGCTTTAACCGGCCGCCGGGCCAGCGACTGCACACCCTGGACGCCCTGGGCGAGACAACGGTGGGGCACCCGGCGGGGCAGGGCAGCGTGTCCCCTCTGCTGGCACTTGACACCCCGTCCCCGCCCTGCTGGGTCGTTTCTTCCACGACTGTGGGGGATGGGAGATGGTTCCCCCCTCCCCCACTTTCGCCCTGCCCAGAAACTACTCCTCCTCTCTCCCCCCTGGAGGCAAAGGAAGGGGGGTGGGGGGCAGGACTCCCCTCGGTACTGCGGTTGCACAGAGTATTTCGCCTAAACCAAGAAATTTTTTTATTACCAAAAAGAAAAAAGAAAAAAAAAATATCCCAGCGGCCAGCTTTCCTCCCTGCCCCATTGGGACAGCTGAGACTGGATCTGTGGGGCGTCCGGGAGGGGGGCTCCCAGCTGGGACACTCTCAGGCAAGAGTGGTGGAGCTCCGTCAGGCCCTCCCCCGCCTGGCCCGCTTTGGGCTTCTCCCCTCTCCTCCTCTCCTTCCTCCAAGCCAACCACCAGAGGTGGCCTTGCCCTGCCCTCGGGCCCCTGGGCTGGAGGCCTGGGCGCTGGGGGTGGGCAGGGGCGACGAGGGGCCCGCCCCTGCCTGCGCAGAGCTGGGCATTCCCTTCCATGAGCTGCTGTGGGGACATTCGCTCCCCTCCTCAAGGCTGTGCCATCTTTCCCACCCCGCCTGCCTAGCAGGAGGGGCTGACCCCAGGCTGGGAGAGGGGAGGGGGCCGCAGGCCGCATGGGCTCTGCAGCCCCCTCTTGTCTGAAAGCACAGGCCCCCTGCTGGCCGCCAGCCTTCATCCGCCCCCTCCAGTGCCTCCCCCCCTTCCCCGTCATTGGCATTAATCCAGGCACCGGCTCATCCAGTGCAGTGACTTCCGCACCCCTCTCATCTCCTGGCCTTGCCTTCTCTTCTGACACTGTTGCTCCTGCCCTCAGGAGACATGCCCAGGGCTGTGGCCACCTGGTGGGCAGCTGCACTGGGTAGCAGGGCCAGGGGCTGGCTGCCCTCCACAGGGTGGGGGCGGATAAGTGACTCCCAGCTTGCTAACCTCGCGGCCGGCCTATGGGAGTGGGCGGTGGATGGGCGCTTGGCTGGTGGCGGCCACTGCATCCCTTAATTTATTTCTCTGCTGTTTCTGTTCTTGAGAAATTGGGGGAGGAAGGGGGAGTCCTGCAGAGGCCACCCTGCCCTCACCCAAGTTGTACATTTTTTGTGATGGGTTTTATTTTTTATTTTATTATTTTATTTTTTTCTTGATTTATGATGACTCCAGCCCTGTTCATCACCCCCCACTCGCAGGCCAGGTCCCCTGACACCTCGAGGCCTTCGGTCCCGGGATGGGGCCTCGCCAACCTCAGCCCTACCCCCACCCGCCCCCCCAGCCTGTGGCTCCAGCTCAGACCAAGGGCTTCCCCGTCCTCCCCCAGCCCTGTGGAAAAGCCCGGGTGCTCCAAAGGGGCCTGGCCGGGAGGGCGTGGCTTGGCTCACCTAGCGGGTGGGGCCAGGGGCACCCCGGCAAGGTGGCCCCTCCCCACCTAGCCCCCCTCCCCTTCCTGCACTTGGTTTCTCCTCTGGATCAAACACGTAATAAAGAGAATGTTTGGAATCTGAGCTGCTGCCTCCTGCCTCTTCTCCCCCAGCCAGGCAAGCTTGGCCCAACCCCACCTGCATTGCAGGAGTGAAACCAGTATGGGGGCTGGGCCGGGGAAAGGGGGAAGCTACTGGGAGGGAAGGAACCCTGGACATCAAAAGGGGGACACTAGAAAGCTTGGGAGATTTTATTTATTTTTTTAAAAACATTGAAAAATAAACCCATGTCTGCATAAGTTCCCAAACCCTCCCCCCTTTGTAAGTTTTGGGGGTGAGCTTGGTGAGCCCCCTCAGAGCTCCTTATACCCACCAGGCCCCCAAAGAGAGTTCCCAGGGAGCCACTGTGCTCACCCAAGCCCTCCCGCCTGACCCAGGACTTATTGCTAAAGGGACAGGGAAAGAACAGCCACTCCCCAAACCGTCCTCTCTCACACACATTGTGGTCCCTGGCCCAGTCAGGCCAGGAAGAGGACAGGCTCAGCTCCCAGGACCCAGGGGTCCAGGAGGCCATGCCAGCCCAAAGGCCCGAGAGTCTCCGAGGCTCAGAGTGAGGGCGCAGGAGGCTCCAGTGGGGCTCCGATCAGAGAGGGAGGGGGCTGGGGGCTGGGCCGGGCACTGTGTCGGGAGGCCAGGGCAGGGCGGATGAGCGGCGGCGGGGGCTGGTTGGGGGCCAACCGGGGCTGCAGGAAGCGGCCCTGCTGCAGCGGAGGCGGCTGGCGCAGCAGCGTGGGGGCCGTGGGCAGCGGAGGCCTCAGCAGTGGAGGTGGCTGGGACAGCGAAGCAGGCGGAGGGGGCGGCGGCGGAGCTGGAGGCGCAGCTCGGGGTGCAGAGGTGGAGACCAAGGTGATCTGCACCTGACGGACACAAGAAGCAGGCTAGCCCTGGCAGCCCTTCAGCCGTCCCAGCAGCAGAGTCCTCACCTGCCCTCTCACCTCATCCTCCTCCTCAGGGGCGGGCGCAGGCACAGGGGCGGGAGCTGGCACCGGAGCCCCTCTCCGAGCCTCTTCCGTGGGCACTGGGGCCCCGGACGCCCCATCCTGCTCAGCCTCCCATTCCTGCAGCACCTCCTCCAGGTTGAAACGCCGCCGGTAGCTCACGAAGAAGGTCTTCACCTGCGTCAGTGTCTTGTTCCCTATCACCTCGGCAACGGCCCCAAAGTCTCGGCCATACCGCCGGATGGCTGCAAGGGGCGAGAGTGTCAGCCTCCCCTGGGAGCTTCTCCCCTCCACAGGGCTCCTGGATGGGGCATGACACAGATCCCGGGGGGCCTGGCGTCTCCCCGTAGTCCAACCCACCTTGCACGGCCAAAAGCTGTTCATCAGTGGTCCAACGAGAGTTGAATTTGGTATTGGCCTGGAGGGCAAGCAGCAGTACATCTCAGACTCAGGAGTGTGAAAATGGCAAGCCCCCTTTTCTGCCACCTCCAGGGCAAGCCCCTCCTGTCCCCTCACCTCAGGGGGACGCAGCGGGTCGATGCCACCTTCCAGGGCCTGGCGCAGGCTGCTGTTGGTCTGCTTCATGCTCTGCACCTACGAGGCCAGTGGGACATGGCAGCCATGAGGCCGCCACCATCCCGCGCCCTCACCGGGGCCCTGCTCCTGCACACTGCCCCAGGGCGCCCCCAAAGAGCAGGGGAACGCTGTGAGGACCCGTGGAGCCGAGCCAGGCCCAGCCCCTGCACCCAGCACCATCCTTTCCCGCCCACACCCCAAAGGCAGTAGTGCCTGCCCACTCTCCTCTCAGCCTACTACCTGGCGCTTGAGTGAGATGAGCTGTGAGTCCAGCCCTCGCAGGGTGAGGTTGGCCAGGTCTGGACTTCCAGACACCGCAGTGAGGCCCTCTGGGCTCAGGTACATGCCCTTTGGGGGGCGCCTCCGGGTGCGCAGCGGGTGGTGGCGATACTGTGACGCCTGCACCTCCTTCTTCCCGGGGCCTGGGCGGGCATTGAGGGGCCTAGAGGGCACAGGCTGCAGGGAAAGAAGATACAGTAGATAAGTGGCTCGGAATCCAAGGAGAGATACAGGGGCAACCAGCCTGGGACCTCACCTCTCTCTTGGTGTCCCCGGCATCTGGCTCACCCTCACTCACAGCTCCTCGGCCCTCGTCCAGCTCATCGCTGCTGACACAACGGGGAAGGGAATGAGCAGGAGCAGGCCCTCCGCCTGCCCCTCCCCGGCACTAACCCGGGCACCGACCTGTCCTCCTTGTCCTTGCGGCCCCCCAGCCGCCGTGCCTGCCTGTCCATCACACTGGTGCGGCTGCGGGTCTTCTTCCAAGAGTAGTAATACTTCACCAGGCTTGGAATCAGCTTGTCAGGCAGCTGGCAGAGGCAAGGTTGACTGGTTGGGGCCCATCCGAGTCTGGTCACCCACCATCCCCATTCCCCCACCAGAGGGGATGAAGACTGGGCAGCAGGGAGGATGCCAGCGGAGGCCCTTACCATCTGCTGAATCCTCTGGAAGCACTTGCCATGGAACCCAAAGGCCTGCTCAAACAGCACCTTGTCCTCCACCGTCCACTCGTCGGGGAACGGGGTGAAGTTGGCCAGGTCGGCCAGTGACTTCTCCACATCGTGCTTGTGCCACAACAGCATGCCCAGAGCCTGGCCCAGGAGTAAGATCAGGATCCAAGGGCACCTCGCCCTGGTACCACCCTAGCCCCACGGGCAGACTTACCTGCTCGATGTTGTAACCATGCTTCTCCTTGGCCATGGCAATGTACTTGTCCACTACAGGGACAGGAGAGAAAGGTGTTGGGGAGGGGCGTGTCACAACTCCTGCCCCAGGCCTGTCCCTGGAGGGTAACCCTCCAACACCCACACCCACAGGGGTGGGGCCTGCACCGCAGCCAGAGGGGCCCAGGGGGAAGCCACTCACACTTGGCATCTGACACGCAGTGGTTGGGTGACCAAACCAGCATCCCCTTCAACTCCTTGTTGCTGTAGCGAGCTGGGCTCTCTGCAAGGGAGTGGGGGACACCATCAGTCCCATGTCCCAGAACCCAGGCCAGAGGGCAGCCAGGGAGGCACAGAGCCGGAGACCCAGACAGGAAGGCAGCCCCAGGGCCACCCACACCCACGCTGACCAACCAGGACCGGGGACAGGAAGCCCAGAGCTCCCCAGGTAGGGCCACCAGCCAAGCCGCCAAGTCAGGGGCCTCGCCCCGCCCCGCCACTCACCGGGCTTGCACTCAGGAATGACCGCCTGGTAATTGGTTCCAACGCGGATCATGCTGTCTGTGGAGGCAGGGGGAGGTGGTCAGGGCTCCAAGGGAGGGGGAGGTGCTGGCCTGGAGAGCTCCTTCCGGCCCACCCACCTCCCCACCTCCCCAGGGGGCGCCAGGGGACTCACTCCCCCACCTCCCCTCTGGGACCCTGGGCCCCAGAAGGGACTGCCCCTGCACAATTGCGGCCATGGGTGCGGAGCGGGTGGCACACACACGGGGGTGGGGGAGGGGCCCACAGAAGACAGTTTAGAGCTCAGGCCCAGCACAGTGCTTTGTTCTGATGGGGGGGGAGGGTCTAGAGGGCAGCCCCCAGACCCGGGCCACAACCCTCCCTGCAACAGGAGCAGGAGGGCTCAAGTGGGAGCGGTCTCGCCAAGTCCCTGCCACCAGGAGACTTCATCTCCACGCAAGGTGGCCAGGCAGGAGGGACCCAATCCACGCGGGGTGGGGCGCGCAGCCTGGGTCCCTCGGGGACGGAGGGCAGGCCAGGGCAGGGCGGGCAGCAGCGCCGGCACGCGGCGAGGGCCCAGCCTCCAGACGCCCGGTGCCGGCGGCGGGTCCGAGCAAGAGACCCGCGGTCTGCACTCTGCGCCCCGTAACGCCGCTGCCGCCCCGTCCCCGCCTGCCCTCACGGCCAGCGCGCGCCTCTCCCGCCCCCCACCCCCGGCCGCCGGGCTCACCGTGCGAGTGCTCCTCCTCGCTGCTGTCATCCTCCGAGTGCGCCTGGCCGCCGTTGGGCGCCGTCTTGGCCCGGCTGCGGGACAGGATCCCGGAGCCTGCGCTCGGCTTCTCCATCACCGAGGGCATGCCCCCCGGCCGGGGGCCCCGAGGGGGCACGGGAGCCTTGGGTGAGCGCCGGGGGCGGCTGCCGTGCGCCGCCCGGCCTGGAGAGGTCGCCCCTGAGGTCGCGCGAAGCCGCCGGTCAGCGTGGCTCGAGGTCCAGCGGGGCGCGAGTCCGCGGGCGGTCCAGGCGCTCTCCGCGACCCCCGCCCTCCACGGGCGAGGGCGTCGGGAAAGTTTGTGCAGAAGCGGGGTACGCGCGGAGAGCGGAGGAGAAGACGAGCGGGGAGCGCAAGGTCCGGTGCGGCTCGGGCGCACTCGCTCTGCTCACCGCTCAGGGTCAGGCTTCGTCTGGGCGCCCTGCCCTCGGGGCGCCCGGGAATCCCACCAGCGGCGACCCACGGCGTTCAGCGGGCGGGTGCGGCGGCACAGTGGGCACCCCGCGACCTCCTCCTCCTCCGCGCGCGCGCGCCTCTCGGCCGGCGCCAGGGATGCCCCAGTCCCCAGGCGGGGGGGACCCTGTCCCACCGAGACGCCGGCGGGACGGCGCGCACACACGGCGCGGCTGCCGGGGAGGCGGGTGGAGCGCAGCCGCCGGCGCCGCCTCGCACGGTCCCCGGGCGCGCCCGCCGCCCGCCGCCCGCCGCCCGCCCACTCGCCCGCTCGCCCGCTCGTCCTCCCCGGCGCGCTCGGGCTGCCGCCACCGCTCGCCCGCCCGCCCGCCCGGCCGCCCGCGCCGCGCCGCCGCTCGCTCCTCGCGCACACAATGAAGCTGCTGGCAGGGAAGTAGTGCCGGCTGCGGCCTCAGCACCCCTCCCCCAGCCGATGCCTCCGCCAGCTGAACATCTGGCCCTGGGGTTGGGGGGAGGGCCCGGGGGCGGGGCCAGACCTCAGGGGGTGGGGTCAGGCCCGGGTTGGGGGTGCGCGTCCCTCGGCGGGGGCACCCACACTTGTGCCCCGGAGGGGGCGGGGGGGAGGGGAGCAGGGGCAGGGAAGGACCCCCGTTGCCCTCCAGGAGGAGCCTGGGGGTCAGCCCCACCCACGCGCGCCCCAGTCCTGCACATCAGTGGACCTGGGTGACTGTCCTGCCCTGGGCACCCGGAGACCGCCCGCCCGGGTGGAGCCCAGCTTTTCCTTCCATTTCCCTTTCTGCCAAGGAACTCCCTGCCCCCCTTCCATAAAGGGGACCCCCCTCTTTCATGCGCCCGTGGGGGGCAGACCGGGTGGGAAGCCGGACAGGCGACCGGTGAATTGCTCCAGCAGCTACTGGGCCAGAGCCTAGGTTCTGGTGGCTCTCCGGGTCCTCCAGGGGTTAGCCCAATTCCCTTTAAGCGCCGTCGTCTGCACCCCTCCAAAAAGACAAGAGTGGTCTCCAGAGCTGAGGGATGAGCCGGGGGAGTGGGGGTGGGGGCGGTAGGGTCTCCTCCCCACTGGGTTCTGACACCCCAGCTGGAAGCAGCATCCCCCTCCCCCCGGACAGGCACGGGCAGAGTGACAGGCGAGCGGGGAGCGAGGCGCAGACGGCGGTGGGGGAGGGGGTGGGCAGAGACTTCCCAAGCCCGAGCCAGCCACCCTGCCAGGCACACAAAGAGCCAGCGCGCACACCGGCGGCTGCGCCGGTGCCCGGCCCCGCCGCCCGCCCGCCGGGGCACGTGCTGCGGCGCACACAGGCCGGAGCCCCCGCCCCTGCCGCGCCAGCTCCGGGCTGCAGGGCACCCGCGCCGCGCCGGCCCTCGCACCCCGCGCTCTCCCTTTCCCTTCCTTGGCCACTCTGTAATCAGATTCCTAAATTTAGCAGCGGCCCGGGGCCCTGCCAGGGCTCCCCGCCCCCACCCGCGGCCTGCGGCTGACCGGTCCGGGGGCCTGCGGTCGGGCCACGACCCGGCTGCGGGGGAGGGTGGCTCCCGTGCGGGTGGCAGGCCCGAGTCCAGCCGACCCCACCCGCCTGCCAGGCTGTGCTGCCGGGCCATGTGCGGCCACCCAGCCAGCGGCCACGTTGCCCGCCACACCTCGAGTCCGTTTTCCTCCTCTGAAATCATGGATTGGGCAGCGAGCCCCAGGGCGGGGAGGACGGTGGCCCCAGCAAGCGCCAGGCACAGAGCTAGCAGGGCAGCTCGCAGGCTGCTCAGGGTGGTCATGGTGCCCGCCCCCCCATGCACACCTCCCTCTCCTAGCCTGGACCCTGCAGGCTAGCCCCGCGAGGTGAGGATGGTGGGGGCCTTGCCTGGAGCCCCACCCCCGGCCAGGCCTCCACTGCCAGCTCCCACCTGAGGTCTAAGGTGTCAGCATCCCGCCCGTTTCTCCTCTTCTTCCTCCAAGGCTGCCTGCCCCAGACGCATCCCAGTCTCCCTAGCTGGGACTCCCAGCATCCCCCTCCCAGGAACTCCCCATTCTGTGTCTAATGCAGGCCTGGGGCCGAAGGGGCTGGGACGGGGAGAAGCAGCTTAGGCCCTGGGGACAGGGAGTCCCTAGGCCTTGTCCAGGGGGTGGGCTGTGGCTGGGGAGGGGCCTCCCCACTTTGTGGGTGCTGAGGGGGACCACAGTCTCCAGAGGGGAGACAGAAGCCTAATGAGCAACCTTCTTCCCCCTGGGGGGGCAAGGGCACTGGGAGAGGAGGGGGAGGGGCACGGCCCACCCCTCCCACCTGCTGCAGCCGCCCCCTCCCCAGCTGGCCCCCTCTTTTGTGCGAAGCCACACAAAGGACAAGGGGCCCCGGCCGGCCTGGCCATCTGCTCCCAGCAGAGCCCGAAGGCTCTTAAAGAGACAGCACCCCCGCCCTGGGGCCCTGGGGCTGTGGGGCGGCGCCGTGCTAAGGCCTGGGCTCCCCGCAGAACCCCTTTGACCCCCATCCACCTTTCCCCGGCTCCCCAGGGCCCCACCCCCACCCCAGGTCGGGAACTCTCCTCCCCCAGGCATTAGGGTGCCGAGGAGCCACGTGGTCGGGAACACAGGCACGCGGGTGGGGATGTGGGAGGAGAGGGAGAGAAGGCAACAGCCCTTCGCCTCCTCCAGCCTGGGCGCGGGCCACAGCCCAGCAAGCCCGGAGAAGTGGGGGTCCCCCGGCTCCCCGAGGCCCCGCTGGAAGAGCTCCCAGCAATGCCCTTCCGCCATTCGTCCTGGTGTGGGTTCCGCCTTCCTCCTTGAAGGTTGTGGGCCAGGCTGCAAGCCTCCCCTCAGGGGAGAGCAGGCTGCGCTAAAAGGCTGCTTATCCTGAAGATCCCCCACCCCCAGCCCGGGGAGGCCTCCCTGCCCTGGCCAGAGCCGGCCCGGCTGCCAGAGCCACCCCGCGCAACGACACCGGACTGCAGGAGCTGTGTGACGCTCAGTCCGGCATGCCCCCCTGCTGGGCTGGGGGACAGGGCCGCCGCCCACTGCCCGCCTTCCCTGCTGTGTTCTCAGCACCTGGCATACAGCAGGCGCTCAGCAGTTGCTGAGCACACCAGCTCCCCGGCGCCCTGCCTGTCGGGGACAAAGGTGGCTTGGGATGCTGAGAAAGGAAAGAAGGGTGACCTTGGTGAGCCACCCGGCCACCCTCCTGCTCCCTCCTCCCAAACGCGGGGGCAGCTCCAGCCAATCCCGGCCCCGCCAGCCCTGCCAGACAGCCCGGGACTGTCCCGAGCCCTGGCCCGGCCAGGCTGGCCGCTGTGGTGTGCAGCTGGGACCCAGGCCAGGCCTTCCGTGGCCACCGCCAAGGGGCTAAGCTTGGGGAGGGAGGCGGGTGAGGGGAAGGAGCGTGGCGGGCCGGCGGCGGGGGGGAGCGTGAGTGATGGCGGGACGGTATCCCCTGGAGGGGCGACCTACAGGGAGGTGAAGTGGGGGGAGATGGAGGCGCTGGAAGGAGTTGGCTGAGCCCCCCTGGCCGGCCCCCACCGGCTCATTCCTGCCTAGACAGGAATGCGGCCCCTCCCTGCCGTCGCCGGGGCCCCTGGCCGGGGGCGGGCGCTGTGGTCCAGGTGCTGCCCGCCCCATCCCTGGGCTGTGCCTGCCAGCCCACCCCACCCCCAGCCCGCCGGGGGGAAGAGGCTGCGGGAAGGCGACTGGGGTGGCGATGCGGGGCTCGGGGCCGCCGCCTCTGCACCGGGTGGCCGTGCGGGCGGGAAGGCCTGAGGAGGCGGCCGGGCTCCTCCTCACGGGGCGGCGGCCCCAGGCGGGAGGTCAGCGAGAGACGCCCCCCCATACACGCCGGCCGGCTTCCTGACGCCCACGCCTCGGAAACCTGACTCCCGGGGAGGAAGGGTCAGCGAGAGACAGACGGGAGACGGCCACCGGGGCCTCCCGGGCTGCACGCGGCCTCCCGGGCTGCACGCGGGGTCGGCTTTTGCACACCCGGGAGCGCGCCCCGCTCCCACGCGGGGGCCGGGCGCGGGGGGCGCTCACCTGGGCGAGCGCAGCGCCCCCTGGCGGTGGCCGCGTGGACCGAGGGGGCCGCGTGGACCGAGGCCGAGGGGTCCTGGGGGGCCCACGCCGGCGGGGTGCGTGCCTGCATGCCAGTCTTCCTAGGCCGTTGGAGTTCCCTGAGCCTTAGCTTTAGCCCCACGTCCCTGCAAGTCCGGCCCCATTGCAAAATCAAGTGCAGCAGAGCCCCCTGCAGGCAAGACAGGGGTGGCCTGGGAGCGCTGACCTCAGGCTGAGGTGGGCTCTGCTTCCTGGCCGCCTCGGGCCCTGCATCTCTAAAAAGGGGCCATAACCCTAACCTCCTGGGCTGTTTGCCAGGAGGACCCAGCGCCTAGCCAACTGGACTGTCGTCAGAGCAGGGCGCCGTCCTCTGCCCAGAACGGCCTTGGGGCCCCACCACTGGCTCCGCCCCCACGGAACATGACCATTACTCTGGCCAGCCTTCAGCACAGCCCCCGGAATCCCCTCTGGACACATCGCAGCCCCCAGATCCTTGAAGCCCACGACCCTGTCCTGCGCCTGCTCCATAACCTGCCATGGCTGCCGGTTCGCCTTTCTGGCCCCAGCTCTCCCACCCTGGAATTCAAGGGCTTTCTAGCCTGGGTCTGTCCACCGCTCTGGGGCTTGCTCCA